GGACCCCAGAAGGTCATCTAGTCCAACCCCCTGCTCGAAGCAAGACCAATTCCCAGTTAAATCATCATTCCCAGTTAAATCATCAGTTGCATACGTACAAAATGAGAAATGACTGGCTAGGAAGGAGTACTGCAGAAAGGGATCTGGGGGGTCATAGTGGACCATAAGCTAAATATGAGTCAACAGTGTAATGCTGTTGCTAAAAAAATAAAAAGCATACACCATTCTGGGATGTATTTGCAGGAGTGTTGTAAATCAGACACAAGAAAGAATTCTTCTGCTCTATTTGGTTCATTAGGCCTCAACTGGAGTATTGTGTCCAGCTGGGTGCCACGTTTCAGGAAAGATGTGGACAAATTGGAGAAAGTCCAGAGAAGAGCAACAAAAATGATTAAAGGTCTAGAAAACATGACCTATGGGGGAAGATTGAAAAAAACTGGGTTTGTTTAGTCCGGAGAAGAGAAGACTGGGAGGGGTGGGGGGTGGAATGGGATGACATGATAGTTTTCAAGGACATAAACGGTTGTTACAAGGAGGAGAGAGAAAAATTGTTCTTCTTAATTTCTGAGGATGGAAGAAGAAGCAATTGGCTTAAATTTTAGGTTGGATATTAGGGAGAACTTCCTAACTGTCAGGGTGGTTAAGCACTGGAATAAATTGCCTAGGAAGGCTGTGGAATCTCCACCATTGGAGATTTTTAAGAGAGGTTAGACTAACACCTGTCAGGGATGGTCTAGATAATAGTAAGTCCTGCTTTAAGTGCAGGGGACTCGACTAGATGACCTCTCGAGGTCCCTTCCAGTCCTATGATTCTATGATTTTTCAGTGTTCTCTGGTGAATTAATACAGAGATCCAATACCCACCATCTGTAACATCTTAAGCTTTAAAACAGTGGAGGCAAAAACTCAATCTATCAAACCTGAAAAGAATCAACAGATTATACAGGAAAAATAAAAGACTGCCAGGATTTGGAATTCAATAACCAATTCTGCTGAAAGCCTTCCAAGGAAATGTAATAACGCTTGAAAAATGAAATGTCGGTTACAAGAAACTACATTTGTTTTTTGAATAGCTTTTTCTTATCTCTTTCTGTGGTTTATGTAAAAGTCAGGCAACAATCGACAACCATTCTGCAAGCACTCATTTCTCAATAGTGAAGTTAATTTATACTGGGCAGTACAGCTTACAGTTATTGGGAGTCTCATTTGTCTGAAACTTCCTGCTATATAAAATAGGGTCACGTCTTCCAGCGGTGAAAATTAGTGTGATCATCACAAATCTTGATTATGTGAGTTTATTCAGTGGTCCCCAATGCATTCAGACAACCAAGGTTGTACCATATTTCTTAATCAAATATGTAAAAAATCAGAAACCCCAAATGGGTGAAATTCTGGCCCCACTGAATTCTATAGCAAAATTCCCACTGCCACCAATGGGTCCAGGATTCAGAGATTACAAGGCCAAACAGGACCACTGTAATTGTCTTGTCTGACCTCCTGTATAACAAACGCCATAGGACTTCCCTGAATTAATTCCTCTTTGAGCTAGAACATCAAACTTTTAGAAAACCATCCAAACTTGGTTTAAAAATTTCCAGCGGTAGAAAATCCACCCCTGCCCTCCCCCCTCATTAGTAAGTTGTTCCAATGGTTAGTTACCCTCATTGTTAAAAATGTGTCTTATTTTACCCCATGCCTGCGAGTGAAGTTGCTGAGTAAGACAAAGGTATAATCTCTTCCCCGACGTGTTTCCCGGTATGTTTAGAACTGAAAACAATTCAAATGAATCATTATTGCTTTTTTTGCTTAAACATATGTAAACAAAAGGGTTCCTCTTCTACATCAACACAAACAGGATACAAATCCTACAAACAAAACACATATTAAAAACAAATTCTCTTCTCAAAGTGGAAATAGATTTGCTAGGCACAGCATCTGAAACCCAAAGGGAAAAATTCCCCTTCCTCGAGCAAAATGACCGCTGAAGTCAGAGTTCTGCCTGAATAAACACTGCCAAATGAGAGCCAAAGGGTACTGAGAAACGTGAACCCAGAGACATCTAAGGCCCCAATCCTTCAGAGATCCCTGTATTGCGGTAGTGTCGAGAAACCCCACTCACGGACCACGACCCCATTGTCCTAGGTGCTGTACAAACAGAACAAAAAGACAGTCTCTGCCCCAAAGAACTTAGGATCTTAATGCACGTTCTTAACGTTATTCATGGGAGTTGTCCCATTGACTTCCAAGAGACTGTTCACTTGCCTAAAGTTAAGCAGAAGCACAAGTGTTTGCAAGACTGTGGGCTAATCATTAGAAGGTTTTAGATACAGACAGTTGCACTGAATACTTTTCTTTGGGACTGGTATTGAGCAGCAGTCAGGTCACCTCGTTAAGCAAACATCAATAAACTTTACATTTACAGGCATGCCGGGTGGTAAACGGAAAGATCATTATTTTTGATGCAGCTGTTGAATTTCAGGAGGGAAAAATCTTTTATCCAACGTCTTTTTGACCTAAGAAGCATCATTTATTTTTACTACAACATCTAAACACTTGTGCAGAAAGGAAATGGGGTTTGTGCTTTGGGAAAGGAAAATAACAAGAACAAAATCAAACTAGACAATCTGAATGAAATGCCAAGAATCTGTGTTAACGGGAGTTGGAAGGACACTTTTTAAGACCTTGCCAGACAGAGTTTTGGTTACTCATGAAATTTCTTAATCTGCTGCAAAAATTCTCTTGGGGTAAGCTTACTTCCCAGTATCAAAATCCCTCAGATAAAATGACTCACTCCCAAGACTCTTATTTACCAATAATCATCCCTCTGGGCCAAGCTTACCATCCAGTATCTTTACCCCTGGGATAAAGGGCAAGTTCTCACATGACAATCTTCTTTCCCTTTGTGACGTTGACAGGCATAGATTTAAAAGCATATTTTTCTTTCCCAAGTTGCTGAAGAAACCAATCAGCATTTCACAATACGAGAGAGGAACGTGTCTAATGCAAAGTACCAGCAGCTTCTGAATGATCCAGAGCTGCAGGGGAAAGGTTGTCGATGAAACAAATAAATCAACTGAACAACTGAAGGGGAAGATGCACAGCTAGGACCAGCTACTAGAGAGGAACAAACAATCAAGGATGTGAGTGAGCACAACGTCCAATTCTGCAAAGTGCTGATCATGCCAAGTTCTCGATCAATGGAATTTGAGGGCACTCAGCCTCTTCCAGGATCAGGCCCATAACAGAGCCCAGAATTGTTCTGAAGCAGAGGATCTGTGATTCTCAGAGCTGGATTCTGGTACCCTGAATCATAGAATATCAGGGTTGGAAGGGACCTCAGGAGGTTGTCTAGTCCAACCCCCTGCTCAAAGCAGGACCAATCCCCAACTAAATCATCCCAGCCAGGGCTTTGTCAAGCCTGACCTTAAAAACCTCTAAGGAAGGCGATTCCACCAACTCCCTAGGTAACCCATGCCATGGTAAACCCATTCCTAGGTAACCCATTGTGTTGAAGGACTTCGCATCGGCTGTCCTACTGAAAGTCAATGGGACAACCTACAAAGTAAGGTACTTCTCAGTGCCAAAAACAGTATGAGAATCTGGCTCAATTTTCTGGGGGGAGGGATAGCTCAGTGGTTTGAGCATTGGCCTGCTAAACCTAGGGTTGTGAGTTCAATCCTTGAGGGGGCCATAGAATCATAGAATATCAGGATTGGAAGGGACCTTAGGAGGTCATCTAGTCCAACCCCCTGCTCAAAGCAGGACCGATCCCCCACTAAATCATCCCAGCCAGGGCTTTGTCAAGCCTGACCTTAAAAACTTCTAAGGAAGGAGATTCCACCACCTCCCCCTAGGTAATGCATTCCAGTGTTTCACCACCCTCCTAGTGAAAAAGTTTTTCCTAATATCCAACCAAAATCTCCCGCACTGCAACTTGAGACCATTACTCCTTGTTCTGTCATCTGCTACCACTGAGAATAGTCTAGAGCCATCCTCTTTGGAACCCCCTTTCAGGTAGTTGAAAGCAGCTATCAAATCCCCCCCTCATTCTTCTCTTCCGTGGACTAAACATCCCCAGTTCCCTCAGCCTCTCCTTATAACTCATGTGTTCCAGTCCCCCAATCATTTTTGTTGCCCTCTGCTGGACTCTTTCCAATTTTTCCACATCCTTCTTGTAGTGTGGGGCCCAAAACTGGACACAGTACTCCAGATGAGGCCTCACCAGTGTCGAATAGAGGGGAACGATCACATCCCTCGATCTGCTGGCAATGCCCCTACTTATACATCCCAAAATGCCATTGGCCTTCTTGGCAACAAGGGCACACTGTTGACTCATATCCAGCTTCTCGTCCACTGTAACCCCTAGGTCCTTTTCTGCAGAACTGCTGCCGAGCCATTCGGTCCCTAGTCTGTAGCAGTGCATTGGATTCTTCCGTCCTAAGTGCAGGACTCTGCACTTGTCCTTGTTGAACCTCATCAGATTTCTTTTGGCCCAATCCTCCAATTTGTCTAGGGCCCTCTGTATCCTATCCCTACCCTCCAGCGTATCTACCTCTCCTCCCAGTTTAGTGTCATCTGCAAAGTTGCTGAGGGTGCAATCCACACCATCCTCCAGATCATTTATGAAGATATTGAACAAAACCAGCCCCAGGACCGACCCTTGGGGCACTCCACTTGATACCGGCTGCCAACTAGACATTTAGGGATCTGGGGCCAAAATTGGGGATTGGTCCTGCTTTGAGCAGGGGGTTGGACTAGATGACCTCCTGAGGTCCCTTCCAAGCCAGATATTCTATGATTCTCCCCTCCTTTTTCTCTCCTGTAACTTCATCCCAGAGATAATTACAATATAATGAGGAAGAAACTTGGATGGGGATTTTTTTGGGGGGGCTAGGAAATAAGACATTTAATTGAGTTCTTGCTACCTCACAGTTGAACAATGAATAAGCAAGTTAGGAGAGTTGAAGCAGGTTGGAATTATTGACTATACACTTGCTCGATTATTCTTGAAATAAACATTTATTGTCAATTATTCTCAAAATCAACCGTTATTGTCAGCTATTCATTCCAAGGATAATACAGCAAGTCTTTGACAGTTATGGATAGCTGATAATGTCGGATAAACCCAATTATGCTACTTATTTTACAAGACCTTTTATTCTATTTCACAGATTTGACTATTACAGCAGTGCAATTTATTACAAGTGACTCATAACATTTAGTTCCAAATAAAAGTAGAAAACCACAAAGGTTATAAAGGAAAGTTACATGTGATGCAATGTCCCATAAATGTGGGTTTAAGAGCACAGGAAAAAATATATAAAAATACATTTAGGTCAAGAATTTTGCAGACAGTTTTTGTTTCAGTTACAATGTTGACACCACTTAGAAAGCACTGTACATTGAAACCTGTACTTAGAAATATGATAAACTCCAACTGTATATAAAAGGCAACAATCAAAAAGAAAAATGAAAGGAAGAACAAGGGGGAAAAAGTCTATTGTATGGCAAACTTCCAATCCTTTGGCCACTAGAAAGCAAAGTCAGTGGATTTCATATAAATTCTCTGTATAAAGGAATGTCCATGATCTGTTAATAATATGGCCCAGAATCAACATCTTGTCACCAGGCTAACAGATCTCCTCATAGAGGAAAAGAAGGTGCTTATGTCACAGTTTATTCTCCCCAATATAATACTGTCCGGAATTGGACTAGTGCCCCAAAATACCATTTTAGGAACATTGCTAATTCCTTTAATGGAAAGGAAATGCAGTAACCCGCTAGAGAGTGCCGCCGAAGTAGGGCGCTTGAGTAACAGCATCATTATTGCACGCTTGCTTTAGCTTTAAGGTTCGTGTGGTTCACCGGCAGTGGGTGGGCTTCCGTGTTGAATACCCAGTCTTCCAGAGACAGCACATCATCATCACAGAACAGAAGATAGAGGTACCTGGAGCCACATGGCAGGAAGAGAGAAAAGAGAAACCGGTAAATTGGATTACAGAAAGACTCTAATGGAATTCCAAGTGTACATATAAGGCCAGATCCTCAGGGCAGTAAATGGCATAGGTCGATATCCTTAGAGACAAGTTGATTTAAATTGATTTAGCTGAGAATCTGGCCAAAACTCCTGTTAAATACAGTGCACAAGCTGAAAATGACAGAGCACCTGGGAAATTACAGAAATGTATCCCCAGACACGTTCATCTCTCTTTATGTAATTGTTCTGCAGAAGAGACACAAAAAGCCTGCAGTAGCCCACCATCTTCCACAGTTTGCTCTGCAGGGAATCCAACGCTTTCTAAGATGAAGCTATTGTATATTTTGCATGAAGATGACCCACACCAGAAAGACTTTTATGCCCAGAGAGGAGATTTATTCTGAAAGCTTTCTCAGGATGCCAGACTTACTTTAATGTCTCTGCCAGAAAAAAACTCTGTTGCATGTTGTCATGGCTTGGGGTGGTGGTATAAACATCTCGGATCCCGGAGAAGCCTGCTTCTACTCTACAATATTTTTCCAGTGCCTGAGAAAAGAAAAGAAATCTCAGCGACACACAGCTACATGGAGTAATCCGTTAATCAGCATCAGCTGTGTTACAAATCAGATTCAGGTTTTATAGCAGCTTCACTCTCACTGAAGAGTTTGATCGTTACCCAACAGTCCAGGAAAGATGCTAGTTCTAATGACAACAGCTGGAAAAAGGTAAACAATGTAAGCTTATTGATTGCTTGGTGTTGATGGTACCCCCATATCAACAACAGGTGTCAAATAGTAACTCTTTTACACAGCTCCTTTCCAAGGCACTTTATGAATGACTGAATGCTGCCACTGAAATGCAACCAACTCTGGGGCGCAGAGGAGCAGCCCTGTGCACATCACATTAGAAAACAGTAATGGAGTGAGAAGACATTCTAGCCGGGAAGTCTTTATGGGAGCTTTTGTGTCCTCATAGCACAGGGAAGATCTCGTCTTTTAAAGTCTCATTCTGAAGATCCAAACATAATATTTGATGCTCATATCTCTATCTTAATACGAGCAGGGCTGAGTCAACCCTGCAAGAATATGAAATTATGGTTTCACAGAGTCTAGATAATTCCAAATGTGCGGCTCAGTCCACTACATCTGACATTATTCCATTCATAGCCATTACACTGTCTGAGGTCTGGAGCTCTTTTTCCCTTCAGTCCCTGTAAGGTTTATTGTTATTTTTTTTAAACAAAGCCCAGACATTTTCAATGATCAGCAAAGAGACAAAAGAAAACGAGGTTTCTCTTTATATCACTGTGCTATAGCACACGACAGGGGCTAGTACAATTAAAACTCTGCTTATCCTTTTCCTCCCCTAGAAAAAGATATCTGTAAGAATCCAGGGCTCTGTAATGGTGAATGCTGCATATTTCATGATCATACCTTTACAACTTCCCAGCCCCACTGTCTGTATTTCGGATCATGGGTCAGCCTCCACATGTACAGGTAGCTTTCTACCACTTCAGGGCGCAGTATATAATAGCGCTCGCTGAGTCTGGTGGCCACGGCTTCCGTTCCAGAATCAAAGCGAAAAGCTTCGGGGCCAAGCTTGGTATCTAAGGAAGAAAGAAAAATCCTCACACATAATAATTGACTTTAAAAATTCATAACCGACGCTAATGGGTTTTATAGGTGGTGTTATGCGGCATTAATACAGCCGAGGCTTGCTATGGGGTGCAACAAACAATCCGTCATGTATAAATTCAGACATGGTGCCCACCCTGTGCAGTAAAATATTTGGATAAATACCAAAAGTAAATTGAAAGCGCTTCTGAAACCAGCAGCCTGGCAACGAGATCAAAGGGTCACATTCAACCCTAGTGTAAGCGTGTGCAAGAAGTCACTGGATTTTTGCCCGGGCTGAATTGGGTCGTAAGACTCCTGATGGAAGCTCTCAGAGACATCTCTCTCACACAGTATTAGGGTCATAAGCCCCTCACCCTTCCACTGCAGTCAAGAGCAGTTGAGAGGCGCTGAGCACCATTCTCAGGATCAGGCCCTAGTGAGAAACATCAGCTACAAAGCTCCTACAGCAGAGCCCTGGAAAAGGAAACTCTTCAGAGACAGTCGAGCCATGCTTTTGATACTCAAGTGCTTCTCATGTTTATAGGTTGTCTCAGGTAGGGGTTTCTTGACTTCATGGTCATTGGGCCCAATGGCCTGAACAATCATTAAAGGACAAATGCAAAATATTCCACTTAGGAAGGAACAATCAACTGCACATGTACAAACTGGGCAATGACTGCCTAGGAAGGAGTACCGCAGCAAGGGATCTGGGGGTCATAGTGGATCACAAGCTAAATATGAGTCAACAGTGTAACACTGTCACAAAAAAAGCAAACATCATTTTGGGATGTATTAGCAGGAGTGTTGTAAGCAAGACACAAGAAGTAATTCTTTCGCTCTGCTCTGATAAGGCCTCAACTGAAGTATTGTGTCCAGTTCTGGGTGCCACGTTTCAGGAAAGATGTGGACAAACTGGAGAAAGTCCAGAGGAGAGCAGCAAAAATGATTAATTGGTCTAGAAAACATGACCTAGGAGGGAAGATTGAAAAAACTGAATCTGTTTGGTCTGGAGAAGAGGAGACTGAGGGGGGACATGATAACGGTTTTCAAGGACATAAAAAGTTGTTATAAGGAGGAGGACAAAAAATTGTTCTCATTAACCTCTAAGGATAGGACAAGAAGCAATGGGCTTAAATTGGACAAGAGAAATGTTTCGTTTGGACATTAGGAAACACTTCTTGTCAGGGTGGTTAGGCCCTGGGACACATTAGCTGGGAGGCTGTGGAACCTCTCCCACTGGAGGTTTTTAAGAGCAGGTTAGATGTCAGGGATGGTCTAGTTATTACTTAGTCCTGTCTTGAGTGCTGGGGACTGGACTAGATGACTCACACTCACAACAGCAGCATTCCACAGTAATGGCTGCTTTGTCCCGGAGCAGATAAGCAGCCGGCTGTCGGAAATGGAGCTTTCAAAGGGGATATCCGCATGCCTGCAGCTGAGTTCAAAACAATGTGAAGAGTGGCCACTTGACTTCAGGGGATTATGGGACGTTTCCGGAGGCCAATCACAGCACAGTAATGCATCCCCTCGTTCACACTGACGCCCGGGCATTTCAACCGGGGCGCACCAGGCTTTATGCTTCTTGTGGAGGTGGATTACCAGGAGCGCTCCAGCTGCAGAGTCCAGGCTCTCTACGTGCCTTGCCAGTGTGGACATGTCGGGAGTTAGGGTGCCCGGGGCTGATTTAAGGCGCTCTGACTCGCAAGTGTAGCCAAGCCCTATATGATTTTATGATCATTACTGTACAGTCATGAGGGATGTTTTTCAAAAGGAGGATCAGAAGTTAGCTGGAACTGTGTCTGCCACCCTTTCCCCTCCTTTAGCTTCTGGTACGTTAACCTTCCTTTTGAAACGGAGATCGCTATGCAATAGGATGGAGTTACTTTCAATGCTATTTTCTGATTACAAAATAATAAAAAACTACTACTGCTTTGTCCTTCTCAAGTGCCTTCCATGTGAGGATCTCAAAACACTAACACACACTCACAGAACCTCTATGAATTAGAAAATCTAATCACCTGTCACCTCTGTTTTACAGATGGGAAAACGGAGGCCCAGAGGTTGCCTGAGGTCAAACAGAACCAGTGACAGAGTTGGAAACAGAATCCAGATCTCTTGGCCCTATGGCTGGTGCTGTAGCCAAAAGACTATCTTTCGTATACACATTTTGTTTTTTTACACACCTTATTTGCCCTACCTGGGCCATGTTATAAGAGTGAGAGAACGGGGATCTTACAGCACAAACATCTCGGATTGTTTCCTGAGAACCAGAGAAAAGGTTAAGAGCACAGCCACTGTCTGAAACACAGCGAGTTGGCTGATCTGACAGCAGGGTAGCTGCTAATGGCAAGCTTAGCGCTGTCCTTTTGAAGGTGACTGACACAGCTGAAGGTGAAAAATGGCTCCAGGCAGTTGCAGCCCACGGGTTGTTAGCTCAGATGGCCTAGCTGCAGTTCTGTAAGTGCTGTGAAAGGAGTTTGAAAATCCAATTCCAGCTTGGTTTGAAGTTTGTTAGAGCTGCTTTCGGCAAATGAGCTAGATGCAGCTCATAAATACATGCTTGTTGATGCAGGTAAGACGTGAAACAATCAAAAGGAAGAGTTATCAACGACAGACACATTGCAGGCAAGCCTCCTGGACAGCAGACTGCAACTACACATACTCAGGTGTGCTCGACAAATGCTCATAAAAAAAGGAACAAAGTCCAAATAATTACAAGCATGTTGAAGCTGGGTGTGTGTAGAGCTAATCACAGCCCTCGAGTCATCAGCAGAATGTTTTTGGTATTTGATCTTGTCAAATTACCCACTATAATAAAACCAATACCTGCCACTTTTACAAATGCTTTTCATCTGTAGATCTCAAAGTGCTTTATAAAGGAGGTGAGTGTCATTATCCACATTTAAGACACACATCTAGCTTGAACTGTAACTTGCCACGGGATTGCCACATTTGTCCTGTTGTTAGCATGGTTAGTCTTTATATGCCTGCACTGAATGCCTTACATGAAAGCAAATATTCAACACCTTTTGTTTGCGAAGTACACTGTGTCAATGAGAAAGATTTTACTGAATATGGGGAAATATGGAGAGACTCACACAATCTTCTCTTAGGAAGGCTGCAGTAGGGATTTATGGTTTGGGTTCGTTTTAAGAAGGAATAACAGAACTCAATTCCCTGTTTCTAACACCCTACAATGCTCAACTGACCATTTAGCTTGTTTCAGCTGTATATTGTGGGAGAAATTAAAGGCAGATCAGTGCTTTACTCCATTTGTTATGGCAATACCTCAAAGTGCTGAGATATAGGAACTCAGATTACTCCTTTTATAGGGAGAAAGCGTGGCTTTGTGATTAGAACACAGGGACCGGGGTTCAGGAGATCTTGGGTCAGTTGCCAGCTCTGCCGCTGGTTTCTTGTATGACTTTGCAAGTCACTCAACCTCTCTGTGGCTCAGTTTCCTCAGATTCTCAGGATCTGAAATGGGGATACCAATATTGACTTTTCTCACAGGGGTGCGGCAAGGACAGATGAATGTTAAACGCCCTCTTATTTTGATGGAAGATGCTGCAGAAGTGCCAAAGAATTACTGCAATGCGAGATTCAATTTTTTAGCAGCTGTAAATCCTTACCTACCACAGTAATTTATCAGCAGTACTTTAATCCACAATGTTTACCTGAGCGTGCATAGGATTCATGACACGTGTGAGTAATCTCTGCGGCTAGATCCATATAATGTTGCTTTTTCTCTTCTGCTGCTTGTTCTGCTCCAAGGGCTATCATGCCACCAGAGAAGCAAGCCAAATGGCCCATTTTGTGATCCAAGATGCCACCTCTCCATTCTGCAATGTAGGTCAATCCTCCGGCAGATTTTTTAACCAAATGTTTTTCTATAGCCTAAAATGTATTAAAAATCAATATCTGAACACATCTTGCAGGAAGGAAAAACAAACTGCTTTGACTAACATTCTGTTGGACAAAATATTCCTTATAAGAAATACAGCTGGAGAAGCAATCGAACTTACCTCTAGTGCATCATTATACATCTTTTTAGCTTCAGTGTCTCTCTTGTCTGACATCAGCCAGGATTTGATCAGATATTCATAAAAGCTGTCCCCAAGGCCCCCAATGGAGACGTGGTCTGCAGTGGTGGAAGCCAACAAGAGACTGCTGCATAACTATTTTTGCACATGATCTACGATACACAGTTGCTTTACCAGACAGAACAATTCCGCCCTTATTAAATAGTTTGACTCAATTCTCCCCCCTTTTTGGTTTCCTGTTGGAGGCTAGCATTACATTTTTTAGAAAATTAAGAAGGAAAGTGTAACCATAAGGAAAACATTCCGTCTTTTACCAAGTGCCAGTTGCCCTTAATTAAACTACTCAAAGCTTTCACTTGCCACGGTTAGTTACATGATAAATTGAAGATGCTTCCTGTTTATGAGATAAAAACCATATCCCGGGCTAACAAACTGAGAGCAGACACATACATGGATGGAGCTGCATGTCCACTAAACATCACGGGCCAGATCCTCACAATATTTAGGTGCCTAACTCTCATTGAAAATAATGGGAGTTAGACACCTAACTACCTTTGAGGATGTGGCCCTACCTCTCACTCTTTCCCTCATGGAGAGGGGGTGTAACGAATGGAGGAAGGGGAGAATACGAATTGGATATCGGCATCACAGCAGAAAAAGGATGATTGGACAGAACTGCCAGCAGAGGGCACCCTGGCTGCTAACGGGGACTGGTGGTTTCTAGTCTCTGCCTGGAGTGTGATACAGCCCGCATGCAGAAGTCCTAGGTTTCTGGTATATTAAAATAAAGCCAGGTGGGGAGATGTGCACTGAATATTTACCTGTGGGGAAATCAGATTTCCAAGGCTGCCTGTTCAGATTGCATAGTGGTATGACCTTACTGAAGAGGAGAATGCTAAGCAATCACTATGGGAAACAGGTCTGACACTGCAGCTACAGGTTTCTGCCTGGGGAATCAGCGTGGGAAACAGCTGGACACATTTATATCTTTAAAATGCAATGGGGGAAAACCCAACACTCCTTCTTTGAAGCAGCCAAATTCACCCTTCAAATGAGCAAGAAAAAACACTTCTCCTAGCCACTTAAATATGAAATGGACTAGACCTATTAACTAGGGTTACCCACCTACATGTCTGTATGATTTCATTTTAAACATTAAGTAGATACAGTAGGTTTTTCGGATTAGCTATGCTGTTTTTCCACTTTTCTGTTGTGCATATCAAGTCCTGAGGTTTATTTTGAATACTAAATCCTATCTAGAGGCGAGATCAACAACCCCGCATTTGACTGACCTGAAGAGCAACATCCCTGATAAATTTCAGAGTAGCAGCCGTGTTAGTCTGTATTTGCAAAAAGAAAAGGAGGACTTGTGGCACCTTAGAGACTAACGAATTTATTTGAGCATAAGCTTTCGTGAGCTACAGCTCACTTCATCGGATGCATTCAGTGATAAAGTATGTGGCCAATGAACCGTAGAATAATCCATGGCAAAACAATGAGATTAGAAACCCGGATTCAGGAAAGAGGATACAATATTTTACAAATACAGGTTGCAGATTGTCTTTAATGGAAGTGTATGATCCTAGGCGTGTCAGAACAATCACCAAAGCAAGAGCGCTAGGGCAGAATTGTTTTCCACATGTTAAAAGCAAGGCCAGAATTTGCCTCCCAGACCCTCTGTGTAAACAAGTCATTAATTTCATCAGGGAGGCTGTGCCTTAATTTTCAAAAGGTAACGACTGCAGCTAGCAGAGTTCCAGCATTCCTTCTCATTGGGGTGGTCTGACAATCTGCTCTGGTCACGGTTACACCTTTTAGGGAAAACATGACAATTCTACTAAAAAGGGCTTATTGCAAACAGCTTTAACAAAGAGAAAGAAAATGAGAGACTGGCACCTATGATAGTCCCTGTGGCAGGCAACAGCTACAGTTTCTCTCTACCTTGGCATCTGCCACCAGCTGACTCCTAGGTCCACCAGAGGGTTCCTAGGCTGAGCAGTCTCTCAGCTCCCTGGATATCAGATTCAGATCACGAGGCCAGCTTATATGCTACTGCCATAAGAAGTTTGAGGTGCCACCAAGCCCGCTCCTGGCTTAGCCAACTGGTGAATTTTAATCTAGTCCTGTGGCCTCCATCTCACTCCAAACCATCTAAATGGGCAGTTATTAACCAGTGTGGTGCTCCAGCAAACCTCTGGGGATCCCTACAAGCATCACAAAAGGTGGGAGCAGAATGGTTAAAATGGATTAAATTAGTGGATTTAAATGGAACTGAATTGGTGGCCAAAATGGATGAACACTGAATACCCAGAAGGTATTCTATACACTTCAATCTAGTCGCTTACAATTAGAAGAATATGGACACAGCTCTTTGGGAAGTGATGCATTAGCAACGAGTTATCAGAATGAAAGACTGACAAAGGTGAGTCACATTATTTTCCCCCCTCTGTGCTGCAAAGGGAAATGTACCATGCTGATGCAAACGGCAATGACCTAAAGAAAACACCATCACAAGGATGTAGCACTAGGATGCGAGATTAATTTTTCCAGTGGAAAGGTTGCAATAACTCTACAAACACAAATGTGAAGGGTGAAACCACTTACAAGGGGATGTGGATAATTCAGAAAGTCAATGAATGGGACGAACCGGGGAACTGACTTTCTTCTCATTGAAGTTCTGGTTTACTGGGACAATTGCAATTGTTCAAGATGTTTTGCTGAGACTATTTTCAACACAAGCCTTGTCAATTACTGTTAAGAGGTGTTGCTAGGGCTGTTAAAGGTCACGGATTGATCACAGCTAGTGTTCTCTCACCTGTCCCATACAATGGCAGCTATGCAACTGCCCTATCAATTACAATTAGCGCGACTAATATAGTGGTTAAAAAGGTCACAAGTGATCCAAGGGAATGAACAGAGTTGCAGAGACATGAGGCAAAAATTATTTCAATGAACTTTGCTTAATTGGGACCAATTGGAATCCACTGAGGAGGCCAAATTAAAAGCAGCCTCTACTTTACTTCCTGATTTATTGTAAATAGTAATGCCTTGAGTAAAATTCTGCCGTCAGACCAGTAATACAATGGGGTGGGAAGGGCAGAGGCAGGGGTTCTGCACAAATGGGGAGAAGTGGAACAGAGGCGTCAGGACTGATGTACAAACTGGAGAGCAAGATTTTGCCTTTGAACAACAGAACAGATGTTGTCTGGCTTTTTCTCTGGATATTGGAAGGGTGAAGTGTCTTAGGAAGAAGCAGGATCAGAATAAAGACACTGTTCCTACTGTCCTCATGATCCCGCATGTTTCTCCCTCTTGCACACCTGTATTTTCCCCCTGGACCAGTGTCGCATTCCTAATAGTGATGCAAGAGACAGACAGACACATACACGCATCCCACTCATTGTCTCAATAGGAAAATCCAACAGCAAGTATCATAGTAATGGTAATGCGTTTGTGCATGTATGAGACTGGCTAGAGGGATAGTGCAGCAGGGTTCCTTCATTCCTTATATTCCTCTTTTTTTTTTTCTGGGGAGGATCTCAAACTCCACTCTCTTACTGCTTCTCCAGAAGATTTCTTACTTGCTGCATTAAATATAGTAACTAACCAAATCTCTTTGGTCTCATCCTGTAGCTTTCATGTGTAACTCCCAGGGAGGACAATGGGATCACTGAAGTGAGGATGGGGGCCTTAAAGAGACATGCCAACTTTTAATGAATCATGTAGCATAATCCTACCATGTGTACGACTATGGGTCCTAAACCTCACTTTGGAGGTAAGATACTCACTCAGCTCGGAATAAGACTCCTGTGAAAGATGATTATACTGCATCTTCTCAATAAGGTTACCTTTATCTAATCACCATGGATAATGAGTTCCTTGACCAGCATTAGTGAGGGCTTTTATCAGGCAGATGAGAAATGTCCTTGGCTTGCTGTTCTTGTAGTTACAGATCACCTTCTAAGGAATAGCGCAAATGCTGAAACACATCAGTAGCATTTCCTGAGCACAGCTCGGAATAAGAGAGCGATACTTACGCTGGACCCAGTTCCCAGTGACCGGACTGAGAAAGTTAGGATACAGGCCCTGCGGTTTCTCAATTCTGTTCAGGACTTTGCGGATGTTCATCACCTACAAAGAGAAAATGGACAAGACACTTTCTATTTTTCCATTAAGAAATCCAACATTTCTGCACTATAAGTGAAACGAGCTTAACTTTGCAATTAGAATCATAGGACTGGAAGGGACCTCGAGACGTCATCTAGTCCTGTTCCCTGCACCCAAGGCAGGACTAAGTAATAACTAGACCATTCCTAACAGTTATTTGTTTAACCTGCTCTTAAAAACCTCCAATGATGGAGATTCCACAACCTTCCTAAGCAATTTATTCCAGTGCTTAACCACCCTGACAGTTAGGAAGTTTTTTCTAATCTCCAACCTAAACCTCTTTTGCTGCAATTTAAACCCATTGCTTCTTGTCTATCCTCAGAGGTTAATGAGAACAATTTTTTTTCTGTTGGTTTTAACATCCAATTGCACAAGTAACGGTCCAAGGACAGTGTCTTTATTGTAAATGCTGCTATTGTTTCAGGATTGGGAAATGAAAACTATCATACCCCTTAGGGAAGGGTCCTCAAGAGAGTGACCCTTCTATAGGAATTCTGAGGCCCAGGGGATATATTCTTTATTAAATTCTATAGGTTTTTAGAGTAATTTCTAGTCTCATCTGCAACCCAATTCCACAAGGTACATAAGCACTTGCTTAACTTTGAATTCAACAGGGCTGCTCACATGCTTAAATGTAGGCATGTGCGAAAATACCTTGCTGAGTCAGAGCCTTTAATTCCTAGAACAGCCCCACTTAATTCCTACAGCGCCGCTGTTGGTTTCAACCTTATTAAACACTACAGGACTTTTACGTACTGGATGAAAATAAATTGTGTGCAGCATATATATTCCACTGTAACCTACACAGCAGCTTATATACTCTAAACCTTTTATAAGATTAGACAATTTATATGCCAAAAGTTGGTCACACAGATTTAAAGTCAGTGTTTCCAAGGAAGTTATCACGCTGCCCGACATTTACTGAAGTTAAGTAGCATGGCACATTAATGACCTGTTTGAACAAAGACACAGATGGACATTATTCCCATTAAAAATGACACGAGTCCCAAGCTGCATGCTAATGAGTTGATTTGCTCCTCTGAAGTCATTTCCCTCCGGATGGCTGGCTGAGCCCATATCCTCCTGGGCTTCCTCTCTCACATGGTGTTATCTTTAACCCCATACATTTGCGGCGGAATATAATGAGCATGTTCAGGGTGGGAGAAGCCACTACAGAAAGGTTCTCACCCTAATTCGTTTGCTGGGTTTTCAGCCAGAAAAGGGGAACTTGATTGGCTTCCGGGGAGATGGGGGGAACAGACTGTGCCAATACAGCACAATTTAACAACAACAAATTTGGGATTAATCCTAGATTTAAACACTGCCCCCCCCCCCTTTTACCCATCCCTTGTGTTTTTGGCACACATCTGCCCTTCGGTCCCTCACTCAGCTCTCCTTCCCATCCACCCACTTTCCTTTCTTGTATCTCTCTCTTCTCTCCCTCTTTCACTTTTTTCTCTCCTTTCTGCAATTTATTGTCATCATTTTCCTTTTGTATTATTAGCCTCCCTTCTTCCTTCTACATTTCCATTTTTTCCTTCTCTTTCCCATTCAGTTTCCACTTTTCCTTCATTTTCTTCTTCTCACTCCTATTTGACATTGTCTCTCTCCATTATTTTTTCATGGTCTCTGTTAGCTTTTCTCTACTACACTCCCCCATCCCCTTTCCATTCTGCGTCTCTCTCCCTGACCCCAAAATCACTGAGCAAGCAGGGTGGCAGGCTAGCACTGCGAAACATCCTGTGAACAGTCTGTTCTCAAGCTATTTCCCTGGAACAATCGAAGTATGTTCACCACACACTGGTACTCTGAGTGTGATCCGTTTTCATCAGACTCACAGGGGAAGGTCTGATTCTAATTGGAGTGATTTGTCTCCCTCAGAGTGAGTTCCTCAGGGAACACGTGGGGAAAGCTAATGATCGCTAGTATCCTACAGTATATTAAGTTGCTCTCACATGCACTATAAGATCACTTGGAAAAAAACCCCTCAAGGTAACGTGTAATATTCATAGATTTTAAACTTAGAAGTTACAAAAGGAATCCAATGCGTCAACTGTCAGACCTTGCCCACATAGGAGACCTTTGCCGAAATCCTGATGGCTGGAGCATTGCATTTAAAGTCAGTTTACAGTAGCAATTCTCCACGGCTGCAGTGCAGTAATATTAACATACCAGGGTTATTAACCATTATCGTTGTGGGATGCACCAGACAGGTTAATATAGCCTGTGCCCCTGTATTTAGGACTCAACTGAGGCACAAAAAAACTAAGGCGTCTGCCAGTCATCACCACTGCAGGAAGCAGGAATGTGGAAGGGCCAAAAAAAATGTAAATAGAAAAAATAAACCAAAAACTTAGGAGTGTTCCAACACCAAGTGGAGCAACAGAACCTCAGACAAATAAGGGTGTGGTCAATGCACAGGACTTGTGCATAGACATGAGACCTAATCCTCAAAAAATATAATCAGTGCTCCAGACTCCATCACAGAAGGAGTAGTTAGACTCACCGGCATGGTGCATACGTGAGTGGTTCAGTGAATTCTCTCACACAATACACTGACTTGCTGTAAAGAAATACGGATCCTACAGTGGGACAGTCAGCACAGTACATATTGAGTCTGGAATTCTGCCACTGGAAGCTGGGATCAGCTGAAGCGTCTGTGCTGACAGGCTGGAGACAAGGCATTTGCAGTGGAGAGTCCCTGGCTGCCGAACTTGCTCCCTCCAGCTGTCCGCCAGATCCCGTTAGTGACCCCCCCCCCAGCCCACAAGGCACCTCTTTATGGTCCCGTGTCTGTCTCTGGATCGTCACCAGAAAGGTGTCTCTTACGGTGAGCTGGGGTGGTAGAGCAAGGATGGCTAGCTGCACTGTCTGCTCTGGGCAGCTGCATGCAACATGGTACTTTATGCCATAAGCCCAGACGCCAGGGCGATGGGTACATAAGAATCATTTCAGTAAAGAATGAGTAGTTAAGTACTTGCCTTTTCAGTAAACACTGGGTTTCCAGAGAGCTCCGTGAGGTGCAGGAATTCTAAATGCAGGGTGCCAAATTCTGCTAAGATACTGCTTCCTGCAGAGGCCCACCCCCAACTCCAGCTCATGCCACTGCGAGGACAAAATAGGGAGCCTTCATTACCAAGCAAACACAGCCGGTTTCTCTACAAGCCTGGGGCAAAGCTCTCCCTCCGTATCCCCTGGGCAGATCCTGCATTTGCTCTGCGGTGTGGAACCCCTACTAGAGGCCCAGGGTGTGGAGAGTTTTGCTTTTAACCAATATGGCTACATGGCATTCACAGGTTTGTAGGGACCCTGTGCGTCGAACAATTAGTGGCACCAAAGAGTTCTTAGCTTTATAGGGGTAGTTTGGCCCAAAGCAAATAAGCCGACTGAGCAGGTCCACTGGACAAGGCAATCTCAAATAATCACAGTCTCCTACGCAGAGCCGGGCTTGAACCAGCCCCTCGGTGCAAACTCACCCAAGTGCTGCATTGGCGGGAGGGCACAGAGGGAGTACCGAATCTGAATCCAAGTTTCCCAGCTGGCTCATCCCTACGATGGGCTAAGCCAAAGCCCCGCGTTCCTGGAAGTGCGGGAGGCTTGAAAGCCTAGTTTTGAGGTGCAGCACCACCGCTAATCTGACAGTTATACAGTGCCTTGCCCCAAAAGGATCCTCAAATGCTTTGTACGCCTCTACATTTAACACCACAGGATGGCTGGGTGGGCGGGGCAGCAACCAAATCAGCACACAGGGCTGCACAACGCGTGGGAAGGGGAAACGCCCACAGATATTGGGCCAGATCTAATATCCATGCAGCCCAAAGTTCTACTCTGAGACACCCTGACTTCCTGGGCCTCATCTTACAGACCTTGCAAAGACTGGAAGGGCCAGATACACCTAAGGAAAGCTAGTAGACATTGTATAAAGCTAACTGGTATACATTTGTTTGGATCTCCTCTCACCAGACCCTTCCCCTCTCCCTCCTCCCACAAGCCACTATTCTGTATGCTAATCTCCAGTTCTGCCAACTCCAGGCAGAAAGGAAAAAAATCCTCATCTCGTTATTGCATCAGCACAGTGTGAGTAAATGGGGAGCGTGTTCTAACGGTGAACAGCAGTGCATACACGTGGGGGGAAATGGATTGCCAAAGGGGGAGCTCTCTGATCACGAACATTCTCATTCACTCTTTACTTGGGCTTGCTTTTTCCCTTGACCCTTTCCCTGCCCCAGCCCACTGCTATAAATTACAGCTCTCGGAAGTGATTCTGTCTCTCCCAAATCTACACAGACAAGAAAAGCGACCTATATCTTGAGGGACGGATCCCAAAATAGCCTCTGCAGGGAAGCTCAGCGGTTCTCTTTCCAGCAATGACACAGGCTTGATCCCTCAAGTACCATGATCCTCGGTAGATATTGACAATATTGCCTATTTCCAATCACGTGTCTTCCCTTTTTAAGGCAGCCAGAACCATCGCTGAAACTGGGGGAAACAACTAGACGGTGCCCGAACGCTTCTGTTAGAAGATAAGGATTTCTGCTATTGATCAAAGGCTAACGCTAATGACCTTTCACTGGAAAAATGTTATTCTTGTCTGAGAAATGTAGAAAACATTTTTAGGTGCAGAATTATTCCTTATGCTGCCAGAGAAAAGCAGCAAACCTTTCAGTAGACAGCATATTCCCCCGGTAATTTAAATTGATAGAGTATTCTTCTCTTTCTGTCCAAAGCTGGCTGCAAACTTTGCTGGGTGCAGTTCGAACAGCTGTCCCAGAAGTGATTGTATTTCAGCAGCAGGAATCCCACTGTCCATATTTGGAAGAAGTGCACGCTATACAGTAAAAGCCAGCTCATTTTGAGTGAGGTTAAATGCAGTATTAGTTTAATATCGGCTGTATCTACCATACAAGACTATATCCTGCCGTTGGACGGATGGCACTACTAAACGATCTCATGGGTGTTTCCTGTATCTGTCCACTAGGACCCTAATCATCATATTTTCTTTATCTGCTGCATTGAAAGAATAGGAAAATACGATCTCACAAACAGAAATCATCTAATAAGCCGCTGTGACGGATAGGGCAACTTCCTGCACAAACCTTCCTGAATGAAGTCTAAGTTCCTTAGATGTTCATTGTATTCAAAATGCAGATATTTATGTATTATTATGGGATTGTAGGTAATGTCTCGAGTGGGGAGATAGCTAGTGTAAGCCTGGGATGTGCTATGACTTTCAAAGGACTCTTTTAAACAATGTGCCTGACAAGAATGAACTTTCGGTTAAGTGGGTTTCCTAGGAAATCTCTTGGGGAAGATGAACGGAAATGTAGCCTCCCATCTCCAGTTACGCAAAGCCCCAGCCTTTTGAAGCTATGCCCTGGGGAAAGGTCTATTGTCTGCTGATCAGCTACTCCTGGAATCTCAAGAGCAAAGACCCCCGCTATATAAAAGACAGGCCAACTTGTCCAAAGGGGTTCTTGTTCTGAGCAAGAAGTGTTATGAACTCCTCACCACAAGAACTTCTCTGTGTGTGGCTGAATGATTGACTCCAACCAGAGTCTTCATTGGAGATGGAAATGATCTCTGGTCAGCTTATTAGCACGTATTTAGATTCTTTTATTGTTTTAATATGTTTTCTCTGGAATGCTTTTCACCTTAAGAATAAATGTGCTTGCTTAGGAAAAGCTGCATAGTACCTTACAACTGTGGGCAATTACACTGTTCATAGGCTTGGAAGAGAAAGCAAAGTTCAGCTGCTGGACATTTTGGCTGTCGGGCTTGCGGGGGAAATAACAGGCCGTTGTGCAGCCTGGAAATACTCTCGTCAGGAGGGAGTGAGATGCGTGTCTCACCTAAGACAGGTGACAGCTGGGAAAGGTTGAGAGTGGATGTCGTCTTTGGTGGACCAGGAAGAGGAATACAGGTGCAGTGGACCTGAACTGGGACAGCTGCTTCAAACTAGATATGTTCTGAATCAACTGGACAAGGCTAAAGACTGTGCTGGTTATGACAGAAGTACTCCGAGCTGACAGGAGTTGAAAGAAATAGCCTTGAAAATCTCCATCCCAAATGCTTTGAGTAGACCGTTGGTCCACCTTCACCAGCCCTCTGGATTGAAGACAAGCCGGAAGTGGGCCTCTGCAGAAAACATGTTCTAGCAGTAGAGCTCAAATGGACTTGGCCTTCCTCGCTAGCTTCTCTCCTAACAGCTGAGAAACATTCCTCCCAAAGACTGTCTTGACGATGACACTAGCCTTTAAGGTAAGGGAAGATGTGCAGCTCTAATAGTAACCTTATTCCAGAAAACACATACTGGTATTTAATAACGATCAAAAGTCTTTTAGCATCAGGCTGGGCATCTCCACAGAACTTTGCAAACAGAGACTAAGACAAAGCCCTTGCCCCGAAGTGCCAAAGTAGGAAAGAATCAAACACACAAGTCAAGATACAGGCTAATCACTCAGAGAGATTATTGCTTAGAGGGAAGGATGGGGTTTGAGGAGAGATGTGACGGGGGGATTGGGGTCTGGCAGGCAGGAACAGGAAAAGCCCAGAAGGCAGCAGAAGACAAAGCAGGAAGCCTGGAGTGCAAAAAAAGAGACCAAGGGATCAATAAGGAAAGGGGACTGGAGGGAGTGTGGGGACCCACTTGAGGGGGTAGAAAGGAAGGATGGAGGGCCAGAAAGGAGAATATTCCAGTAATCGAGACGACCAAGGCATGGGCCTGGGTTTCAGCAGTGGGAATAGTGATGAAAGGATGGATTTTGGTGCTATTAAAGAGGTAGGAGTTGCAGGATTTAGGAAGGGTCTGATCATGGGGGGAAAGGAAAGAGAAGAACTGAAGACTGCACTGAGGTGACAAACCAGGGACATGGGAAAGGTGGTGGAAGTTGTTAATAATAGAGAAGGGGGAGCGTAGGAGAGGGATCTGGAAGTTCAGTATCAGAAAGAGTCAGTTTGAGATTGTGGAGGAATATCCAGGGGGAGACATCAGAGGCAGAAAGGGAGAGGTTGGCGCTAGAGAGCAAGTTATGGGAATCGTCTATGTAGAGAAACCCGTGGAAGTGGATGAGATCTCTAAGAGAGAAATGGTGCTAGAAGGCAGGGGGTAATGAGCACAGAACCTGAGGGTTCTCAACAGACAAGGGAAGAGTGATCAGCACTCAAAGGAGACGCTGGAGGAGTAGCCAGCAAGGTGGGAGGAGAATAAGGAGAGCAGAGTTATGAAGGCAAAGAAAGGAGAAAAAGCTAAAGAAGGGGTGATCAACTGTGTCAAAAGCAGAGCTATCAAAGAAGAACCACCATCCCTTGGCCTGAGAAAGGAAAAGGCTATTAGTGACTTTGGACCATAGTGTGGAGGCAGACTGCATTAGATCAAAGAGGGTGCAAGAGGAAAGGAAGCTGGAATAAACAGTATGCTCTAGGACCCTGGAACCAAATGGGCCGAGGGCGACGAGATGGTAGTTTAGAGAGGCTAGTGGGTGGAGGGACGGATTTTTCAAGACATGACAAGACAGAGCATTCGATGGAACAAGGGACGGGCAGGCACCCTGCAGGATTCAAGAGCGCAAGGGCAGGAGGTGACGCTGAAGTGGCTGGAGGAGATAAAGCCCTGGGAATAGAAGCAGCCTGGGTTAGCAGATCCTGGTTGCAAAAGTAGAAATAAAAGGGTTGAGAGACTGGGCTTTAGTTAGGGAAAAACCTTCTGTTGGTTTTGGCATCTGACTGGCTGGAAGTCTGTCCCGATATTCAGACTAAACAGCCCCTCTCTCAAGGTCATTCCATTGCTCCTACGTACACCTCCATGTATTGTATCCCACCGAACAACTCCTCTCATTCTGGGGAGCTTTCACCCTTCAAATGCAGGCTGTTTGTTACGTTCGAACCACAGCCAAGCTACACACATTTAGCTCTTTTCATCTTTGCTCCTACATAATTACTGGTGGCCCCCTAATCCGTTTCAGTGCTCTTCTCAGAGCTCTAGCCAGTAATGCAGACTCTTGCTTTTAGGAAGCCTCCGGCTATTTTGATTTTCTTCCGTATTAGCCAAGGTCATCAGCAAGATATTTCAGGGTGTCTGGGCAGATACACTCTGTCATCTTGATTGTCTTTGCAAACGGTAGAGTGAGGTACGGCATTTCTGCAAAAGGTGAGCCAGTGCGTGACCTTGTATTGAGGAAGAGGCACCACCTGAGACTTTCTCATCCAGCCAGGAAGCAGAATGTCATTCCTGGAAGGATACAATTAAGGTGGTGGAGACGTTCAAAGTTTTCATTGCACGGAGCGTTAAGCAGCGGGCGACAGTGACATTTGAGCAACGGATCACCCCGGGTTCCATGTTCAATGAAATCTCCCACTTTACAAGGAAAGGAACCCAATGGCAGATGTGGGGTAAAATGACCCCAGCTGCTACTCTGAGTGCTGTGGCAGGGAGGACGGAAGGGTTTTGTTAACTCATGTTGCCTAGTCTCTGTGCTGCAAACTGTGTGCAGGTTTTAAAATCCCAGGGACTTTAGCTAGTTGGCATCAAAATGAGCCAACGAGTCCTGATGGGCAGGAAGTGTTGTGTAGTAGTTAGAACTGGGGACGGGGAATGAACGCTCCTGGTTTCCACTCCTGTCTCTTTGGTTATTTAACCTATCTGCCTCAGCTCCCCGCTTTATGTCACATACCTCAGAGGCGGTGTTGTAGCACTAAGGTCTGGTCTACACTGAAAACTTGCATTGGCACAGCTATGTCTCTCAGGGGTGTGAAAAATCCACCCCCCCAACAAGAGATGGGCTATGCCAACCTACCCCAGTGTAGACAGTGCTAGTTCAATGGAAGAAGAACCTAGCTACTGTCCCTCGGGGAGGTGGATTAGCTACAGCCAGGGGAGAACCCCTCCTGTCACTGTGGCGAGTTTCGCCACCGAAGCAGTTGAAGTGTAGATGTCGCCTAAGGGAATGTTGTGGAGTCTAGGCAGGCAGAAAACTACATGGGCTGCGGCTATTCATATAGATTTGGATACAAAACTGACATTTGCCACAAGGTCTATTTCTCAGCTTCCATGCATGGAGCCGCACAGATCCAGAAAAGTAGCCTCGTGCATCTAGCCTGGTGCACTGCAAAAACATGCAGAGCAAGCAGAGTTCTAAATGCAGGGCCCACCAAAAAAATTCAAAGGCAAATGTGAGTGGGAACATCCTGTTCCAATGGGGCGGCTCTGCCAGGAAGTGAAGGAAGAAAATGTGGACGGCTGAAAAAATTAATAAACCACAGCTGGATTTAATGTGAGTCACCCTTGATTACGGCCAAGATGCCGCCTGGAGTTTGAGTTGCCAAAACGAATATCCTCCAAGAGTCAGGGGGGGAGATGCTACAGAAAGATGCTAAAAGAATAACTGGATTAAACAAAATGAATACGTTCATGGAGAATAGGTCCATCAACAGCATTAGCCAAGATGGTCTGGGACACAACCCTGGGCTCAGGGCAAACCTAAATCTCTAATTACTAGAGGCTGGGTGTGGAAGAAAAGGATGGATCTCACCATAATCTCCCTGTTCTGTACACTTCTCCTGAAGCTCTGGCCCCAGTGCTGAGACAGGATGCTGGGCAAAATGGACCATGGTCTGACCCAGTATAGCAGCTCTTATGTTCTTAGAGGCAAAATACCCCTGAGGAACAGTTGTTACTCCTTTACAAGTGTTCAGTACATAAATCATAGAATCTCAGGAGGTCATCTAGCCCAACCCCCTGCTCAAAGCAGGACCAATCCCCAACTAAATCATCCAAATATCCCACTCCCCCCGATCCCTAAATGGCCCCCTCAAGGATTGAACTCACAACCCTGGGTTTAGCAGGTCAATGCTCAAACCACTGAGCTATCCCTCCTCCCCAGTAAGACCTACTGCTAACGATGGGAAAATAATGAGGTGTGTCTTGCCTGCCCAGATTTATGACACCTCGTGGGATACCAGTGGGGGTGTTAAAGGCTGGTAGAAGTTTCTCTCCAAGTTCTAGAGCTTTGCTCTTGAATACCTGTTAGACAAAAAGAGGAAAAGAGAGTTAAAATATACATTGTATTGCTTGCTAGTATCAGTCATGCTGGTTTTCTTAAACTTCACTTTTCCATACACTCCCAGACAGACACAAGTTATAAAGTGGGTAAGAATGATGGGACATTACAGGGCTTTCATTTCCAAATAGTGGGGTAGCCCTAGGCCTACATATTGGGATGGGCCTGAACCAAACCCCATGAGGAAGTTTTGATCTGAACCAGAATTTATATATGGCCTCTGGAGATCCACAACAGACCAGTCTAAAATCCTGGATCCAAACGGGCCTCAGACTTTGGATCTGGATGTGAGCTTTGCAGTGTCGGCTCACGTTACAGTAGAGGAGATCTCCCTTTCTAACCAAATTACAGGATCAGTTCTGTTAACTTCTGACTCAGAGTCCTGGGTTAATGAGTTCGAAAGTTCCCAGCTGGAATATAACTGGCATTAGGACATTTGGCAGTTTCAGGGCACTGGGGTTTGTGTGAACCCTTTTCCTTTTCCCTTGGTTTTGGTTCTTATGGACACACTCCTTGTGAGTTTTACTCTGAACCCAGAAATTCAAAGTTAAACAGCCAAAACGGCCAAGTTTTGCCCTATTACGGGACAAACCCACCATGTTTTCCATGGCTTCCTCATGAAACCAGAGATCATCCCAGGATCATTAAGTGAGCTCGGCTTGGGCTTGGGGTTTCATTGTCCTAGTTCTGCACAGCTCTAACCACTCTCAAAGCTGTGTGCTTCCCACTGCCTAGACAGCTTAGTGTCTGCATATGTAAAGCCACCCATTGCTACATCCAGCTGTTCTCTTGAATTTCTGAAACCTTCTAAGTACTTTCCCTTGGAACTTGAAGCCAAGTTCTGCATTAGATGGGGGAATAGTAGATAAACTGGATTAAGCATCTGTATCTTGCTGTGCTAAAACGTGAGATCTGCCCACATGGCACAGATCTCCAGTCCCTAAGCTCCTGGAACTGCTCCTTTAACCTACTGAGCAAAGACCAATTTCTTGGGTCAAAGGTCTCCACTTCTAATGCTGCTGGCTGCTCTAACACCAATGATGGGCAGCTGGCTAGTAGCTTTGCTCAGAGTACTGTTACAAGAACACGCCCTTCTGGGTTGATTTGAGTTGATCTTGCAAAGCATGGCTTTGGGGACAAAGGGTCCCCTTTTAAGAACTTGTTGTGGGATGGTGGGGGAAAACAGAAGTGAAGACATCAAAATTAAAGCAGATTTCTAAGGATGAAGCATGCTATGGTTTACAAAGCAAGTTGCTGGTAGCTCACATGACTTCTAATTTCAAGAACACATATTTTATACACACATACACTCCTTTAAGTGCAACTATTTTCCAGAGAGGATCCCTGGCCTCATCATGGCTAAGTTATCACCCTTTCCATTCCTAATTTCCGAGTTATGGGCTTTCTAATCAAATGATAGCTTATGGGGGCTGGTTGCACAAAGCCGCCAGACACAATTATTTTGGGACAAACTGATACAAGCAATAATCTGCGCTCAAGAGATTTGTCTTGAGCAAGAGAAGCCTGTAAGTGACAAGAGATCAAGCACAAGCCTTCTACCTCTAACCTCCCTAGTTCAGTCCAAGTTGTCACAACAGTTCTAAGAAAGCAAGACATTATTGCTCTGAGAAATACAGCATGGAGGAAACCCAAACTTGCCCATGGGCTTTGAGGCCTTTGTCACAGTAGAGGAAGGTATAGGGAGCTGGTTCAGAAGGGAAAACCATGAGGAAGTGACTAGATTATTGAGGGGGGAGGCACTGAACTGACACAGGACAGACACTGACCTGTCTGCTGAGCTCACTCTCTAGCCTGCTGCCCAAGCTTTACGGTTTCGTGGCCTCTCTTCCTTCTCTGTCAAGTTGAAGTCAATGGAAGCTGTGAGCATGAGGGGCTGCAGCACAAGGCACCAGATCTTTGAGAGTTTTCCCAGCAGGGAAATCCCAGGAGGAACAAATTCCTGTAACTCATCCAAAATGCAGCCTTAATTATGGAGCTTCTCCCAGGTCTCCACAAATCACTGGCATCACAATGTAAGGACTAGTCATTTCCTCCTATCATGGGCAGCTCCCTCCAGCAGAAGCCGCCGGCCTGTAGCAATATGGGAGTTGCTTGAAAAGGTTATTTACTTGTTGCTTAAGGCCCAATCCTGCAGCCGTATGCTAGCAGAACTCCCATTGAGATCAGTGGGATCAGGCCTTCTGTTTGCCTGAGATATTCAGGGTAGAGGAGTAATCTCTTGATCTCCCCACATCTGGTTTTTAAATTCCAGCACAGCTATATTATGAGACAGGTTATGTGTTAAGATATGGCCTACGTTTGGGAGGGATAGGTGGGAGAAAGAGAGAGCAGTGTTTTCAGTAGGAATCTTCTGATTTAGCCAGAATTCGTTGCGGGCCTAGTGCTCATTGGAACGCTGCTCCACCACCCTCGGAAAGGGGTGCCTTTCCCCAGAGGTCAACTCAACTCTGCTGGCTGAGTGGGGAAACCAGGGGTTGGGGCAGTTCTACCAAACGTACTTGCTTGGATCAGTCCTTGTGTAACCCTGTGGTGAGCGTGTGTTACAAATCCCCCTCTGTGCTGATCCACATAGGATAGGAGTTGTTACCACCCCCACCTACGAAGCCACGGCTCTTCAGCTCAAGCTGCTGCAATTCAGACAGATATCTGGCTCAATCCCCAGTGTGTTGACCATGGGGGTGGTTGTCACATCAGTCACTTCCTCTTCCCAAAGGAAGCTGATGGCTCAAATCCCAGATGAATCCTCATGTATGGCCAGCCCTCTGGGTTCACACATGGGGATTGAATCGGGAACCTCCGGAGCTAAAAGCGTGAGTTTTGACAATCTGAGTTAAAGAGCCATGGCCCGGTAGCTGGGGGTTGTAACAGACTCATATCCACTGCGTACTGGCACAGAGGGGAGCTTGTAACACACACTCACCAGTCCATGACATTTGCACACTAAAGAAAGGCTCCTTGCACATGGATGGCGTTAGCCACAGCCTGGCTCCCTGCTTTATCAGTGCAAACTTTTGCTACACAAAAAATAGAACACTAATTTGGGGTTTTCACAAATAGCTGCCACCAATAAGCTAACACTTAGCCTGCGGGGCTATTTGGAGCGACCCCAAAGTTTGCGCTATTGCCTATATTTAGGCTACAAAGTAACAAGGACTGAGGGAAAGGCAAAGATCACTGCAAATGCATTTCAGTGGGGACCAATGCACCAAGCTGAAAAACGATCTTGCTAAAATTGTCCGTTGGAGAAAAGATCTTTATAGATGAGCCAGGCATGGCAAGCATAAGGTAATTGTGTGAGACTTAATTAAAAGACTGTTAGTGGGAGTTCAATATTCATAAAAAACAGGTTTAGCCTCTTGTTACAGAGGGATTATTTTATGTTCAGTTGAGCACCGCTGGGAGCAGCCCTATCCAGAAATACACCTGCACATTCATTATTTGAGACAGTGAGAGATATGCAGGATGTGTGGAAACAAACCTCTTCACCGGTTAGGTAGTACGTCGTCAAGAGCCCTCCGACATAACGAATGTTCACTTCGAACAAGGACGCTTCTCCATTCTGAAAAGATCATCATCAGATAGTAACTGGAAGGTACAAGTGAAGCCTTACAGCAACCATGCAGACATAGGGCCAGTGAGAGTGCCTTGGAATAATTCTAGGCACGTTCACAAAACTCTGCAATCCTATTCACAGTTTAATAACACTTTGCCTTTTTCTGGCATCTTTCATCTAGGATCTCAAAGAGCTTTATACATGAAGCCGCACAACCCCCTAGGAGGTAGCTTAAGTGAGCTATCGGGATCACTTTGTTACCACTGAAATGGTTTCTGGGTAAAACACAGCAGCTGTTTAATAGCAGTGAAACACTACCCAACAGATTACGAAAGAAAGCGTGAGGAAGTGTACTTCCTCCAGTTGAAAATGAAAAGGCAATGCAGGCAGCCAGAAAATAGTTACGTACGTTGGAAGCTGGACAGGACGCTGGAGTTAACATCTCTATTCTTACAAGAAGGGCAGAGAGATTTCGAGAGCCCACAAGAAGTCAGGACTGTTTTGAATGGCCAAAAGATGGCACCCTCCTGTACTGAGCCTTCTCGCACCATACGGGAGCATTCCTTCAGCACTGACTCAGCGGGCAGAGTGCCACCTTGTGCATCACCACAACAACTTCCTGGCGTGGCCAGATGTTCTCTGGAGGTCTCCCATTCAAGGACTTACCAGGCTCAACCCTACTTGGTTTGTAAGACCTGACAGGACCACAGCCCAGGATGGCACAGCTGCTGCCACACTGAGTGGCAGACAAACAAACCAGTGCCCAGGTGCCCTGCTAGGAGATGGTGAACATGCAGTGATGTGGTTCACTGAACCTCCCAGGAAGCCACTCACCTGGAACGAGTTAAGATCTATTTTATTCCAGGTCCCGATCAGCAAATGTCAAAGCAATTGCCTTCAAACTGTGCTCCTAGACTGTGAACCTGCCAGGCAAATTATTTCTTCCTCTCAGATAAACACATAAAACTACCAACAGGAGGCTCTTACAAGAGCGCAGCATTTTCCGCGAATGGGATAGAGGGATAGGAATTCTTTACCCACTGCATTAATCTGGCTCTTCCAACAATCCCACTGGGTTACATATGAAAACAGAGGTCTTCTCCCAGGGAAGGCTGGAAGGATCAGAGACACAATGTGCCATCCAGAGAGGGAGGCAAAAGCCAAAGGAAGCAGCTCAAGATCACGCAGGAAGTGACAGTACTGTAAAGGGGGAGAGAGAGGGAGAACCTGGAAAAGGCTGGACTGGAAGGAGGAGAGAAAGCAAAAGATCCAGGTTGGGAAATAAAATCAGTGGACCTAATATAGCTGCAAATAGCAATTAATGATTTGTTTGCTGGGCGCTGGTTCTTAGGCTATCAATTAACCAGGGTCATGGAACACTGCTGTACACACAGCCTGCTGCTGGTTAACACGGTCGTCCGTGCTGCATTCCTTTTAGAGTTTGGGGATTATTTTTGTCCCTCAGCCTCCGTCTCATGCTTCTCTAAGCAAACTTGCTCTTCCCACATAGTCAGTGGTCTGTCTAGGTATCTACACCACACTTACCACTTGTCAGTAAATCCAAACAGCTGCTCTGCCACAGACCTGAACTGTCTCTTCTTTCCCCACTGCCTGAGTCAGGCCCACCCTGCCGCATCTAGTTGCTGAGAGTTCCACCACCCCTGAAGACAGCAGCTCTCCGGGGGGGACCTTGGTTGCAGAGGGGCCGCCCGTCAGAGAGTTTGGGTCCAGCCCACTGAACGCTTTAAAAGGCAAGACCGGTACCTCCAGCTTGACTGTGTTTTATGGGCAGCCAGTGGAACAAACAGCACTGGAGTGACATGTTGCTGACAGCTGATAATCCAGCTTCCTCTGTTGAGACGGTTTGCTTTGTAGCTCTGAAACTGTTTTTACTCCCCATGCTGGCAAATTATCTCAGCAGCAAATGTGGCTACTTTTGAAATGACACCCTCTCCTTCCTTGTCATTTCTCTCTTAAGCCTCGCACTGAATTCCCCTCTCCAGTCAAGGCCACCATCCCACTCCTGCCTGTCTAAGTCAGCTTCTTGTCTCAAAGCCAATTTTTAATTAATTTCAACCCTTCTCTCCCTGCACTGCACATCTGACCCCAGTGATCAATCAATAACATTCATTTTAGTCTTTGCCGATCAATCTATTGTGTGGGCCAGGAGTAAAAGCTTTTGTCAAATCCAGATAAATTATCTCCCCATTGATTTTGTCCCTTGTTTATCGATTCAGTAACATACTTAAAAGCATTCAAGCTAATATATCAGATGTGATCTTCCTATTATGAATCCATGATGGCCATCCCTTCCCAAATGATACTTTTCTAAAAAGGCAGCTGCATTCATTTTTCACATGGGGAAAACCATTTTTCCCCATGTACTAACTAGGACAGACATAAAGAAATTAAAATTTTAATGGCATTTTGAGCTTAATGGCTTCCATAGACCACGTCAGGCTGTGGTCCCGTCTCGCAAGCGAAGAACAACTCCGTATGTAGATGGGAGACCTTCACGGAAGATACAGGAAGGAGTGCTGGCCATTCTGTAGGTGGAGCTCCTCATTTTTCATACTTATCCAGTGTCCCAGCAGTGTGGTTGGGGTCAGGCCTATCGAGAGAAATTTGGGACCCCACCCCCTTCCCTTTCACTTTATTGACACAGATGTTACAAACATTTTGGGGTCCCCCACAACTTAAGGCCCTGGCACAATTGTCCCTCTCCCCCCCTCCCCTTCCCGTTAGCTTTGGAGTCCTGTGCTCCTTTGAATAACACATAGAGGTACTGATCAATAATTTATAAGGAGGGGTGTCAAAAAATCCCCTCCCTAAGAGCAGGGTGATCAGTCTATAATTTGCGGAAAGAAAACCTGATATCATGGGGAGGGGGTTCAATCTGGGGGACATATGCTGGAGGTCTCCTGTTCACACTGATCAATCTTCCTTGGAGTGTCAAAAATTAGAGATGGAAATTTTCTAACAGAAAGAGCATTACCCCCTGTTCAGGCTAATTCCGCGGAAGACCTCAGGAATGAAGGATGGCTGCAGGAATCACTGGGTGGAGTTCTGTGCTCTGTGCTGTGCAGGGGGTTAGTTGGATCACAATGTTCCCTTCTGGACTTGCAATCTATGAATCTGACTCATTGTCCCTTGCACTGACATTTTCAATTACTGACTCACCACATTCAAGTCCAAGCTCTTCTCCACCCAGCTTTTCGCTTCTTGGAATTCCTCCCCAAGCTCCATGATGTACAGAGTATCTAAGGCATCCACTATGGTAGCCCCTCGAAGGCCCCCTGTATCGGCAAACAAAGAACAACTTGTTTAAATCTTATTCACCTTCCGTTTTTGGATATCAGGTTCATTTTCATTTCACCCTTTTAACACTAAAGGGGACTGTGTACGTTGGGAGAGGTGTCAACCTTTTAACACTCTCCCTCCCTGTTTCCAGCTTTAACGATGGGGTAAAACAATAGCATGTTTGGACAGGATGAGAGCAATCGCTGAGATGAGGTAAAGGACTGCAACGGTACACGGCTGTATACTAGACGCAGCCCACACCAGAACTCCAGGTGGGAACTCCGGTGAACTTTGGGAATGTTCCGCTTGGCATTTGGACCTGAATTAAATGGACCGAGGCTGTGCAAGGAGCTTGGACCAAAGGCTTTCCAACAGGACTAGTGAGTTTGGGATCTTTAAAAGGGGCCTGATTTTCAGAGGGCAGAAAAATGGGCCCGAAGTTGGGCACCCAAAATCACTAGTCACGTCTGCAAATCTTGGCCTTATTTTCCAGTTCTGGAATGTGCCTGCAATCAGGACAGCTTGTGACATTTCAGCCCAGCAGATGCAAAGCCTTGCCCTGACTTGGCTACATACCCAAACTGCAGCCTCTCTCTAATCTGGGTCTGAAACACAGTTGCCCAGCTCCCCAGTGAGGTCATCACCAAACATGCATAGGCTGCCAGGGACCACTGTGCTAGCCAGTGTGACCACGGAGGATGACGTTGCAACAGTCATCATGTGGTGATGTCCCTGGATCTGGATCAGTCCTGCAAGTCCACCAGGTAAGGTCCGGGCCTGCACCCCTTCGTGTGTCAATGGCGAGTTTGAGAACCCAGTGCGTGTGCGGGGGGGTTTCCGTCCATCCTGGCGACACGGCTGAAGAGCAGGCATGCAACGTACAACGTAATAAAATGAATGACTGAAGCGAGGCCAGAAGGCATCATAGTGTCTGTGTACAATGGCAGACGATCTTGCACTGTGTGTGGCAACTACAAGCCAATCTCATTGTTTTCGGTCCCTGAAAGGTCTTTGTTCATGTTCTGCTTGGTAGGATACAGCTGCTCCTTCACAGACTTTGTCATCCGCAGCAGTCAGGTTTCACGGCAGGACTGTCCACAATGGACGCTGGACTTACCCTTTGGATTCTGGCTGAGATAGCACGTGCTTAGCACCCACCGGCAGCCAAGCTCCCCTCCCTTCTCCCCCCAGTGCCTCCTGCCCACCGCAGATCAGCTGTTCTGCGGCATGCAGGAGGCACTGGGAGGGAAGGGGGAGGAGAGGGGATGGGGCACGCTCGGGGGAGGGGGCAGAACTGGGCTGGAAGAGGTGGGTCTGGGGCAGAGCAGGAAGAGGCGGGGCGGGGTCTTGGGGGAAGAGGTGGAGTGGTGGCAGGGCCTGGGGCGGAGTGGGGGCGGGAAAAGCTGGGGCGGGGGCTTAGCGGGGTTGAGCACCCCCAGGGCAAGTTGAAAGCCAGCCCCTGTGTTGGCTGAACTGTACAGAGGATTTAACCAATCTGCTTCATGTGGCACACAGAATCGACCTCAAAGTGGCTTTCGGCTCAGTCAGCACTTTGGCTTGCACTGAAAGGAGCTGGTGTTCCAAATGTTCTGCTAAATCTAGTATATGATCTTCACACTGATATTGGTGTGAAAGTGTGCCTTGGTTCGTGACTTTTGCCACATTTCTACATAACCTCAGGTGTGCCGCAGGGATACATTCTCCTCCAGGCACTATTCTGTCGAGCTACTCACTGGATGTTAGGACTTGCTGTTCCTCTCATCGAAACCAAGGTTGGTCAAGAAGTGCTTCCAACCCAGACTATGCCGATGACACTGCCTTGCTTGTGGAGAAGTCACAAAATTTCAGCCCCGCTCACCACGGTCTCCAAGACGGCACCCCCACTGTGAGATTGAACATCTCATGACAGAAGACCAAGGTCCAGAACTTTGGAGCTGGGCCACCAGAACCCCTGGCGCAGGTGGGGTTGAGTACCATGGAGAACTGCTTGGTGAGGGCCAAGAACAATACTTCAATTTCTGAAAGACGATACTCAAGATAAAGTAATATTAATATATTGTTTGTTCTGTGGAACACTAAGCCTACATTTGCGGCATGCGGTGACTCATGGTTTCCCACTACAAATGTATGATATATGGCATTAGGTGGCAGCAGCTTGATTAAAAATGAAGCCTTTGGACGCTTAACAGAGACTTGGTGAGCTCAAGGGAGAGCTCCACTCACTTAACTAACAGAATGAATTGTTATCCATGAGTGTGCCCATTTTTCTCCAGCAGAGGGCAATGAGGCGTATGCAGACTAAGCACAGTCCCTCACAAATACTTGGATCTGCCATGTCAACCACGTAAAAACCCATGTCAGACTTTCCGTATAAAGTAATTGGGACTACACAGGAAGACTTTCAACAAAAGACAGCGACATTGTATCCTGTGCTGAGATGTGGAATGGTGATACGTGGAACTGTATCCCATGCAAGCTGGGATCAGTGTGATTTAAATAGTTCAGTACTGTGAACAGCAGCAGAGATATGGTCTCACAGGATCTCAGTGACACAGTTTCATTTCTGGTGGCTGAGAGTCCCTAAAAGTCCATCTAGTCATCAGAAGGCAACGCAGCAGGGGAGGTGAAAGAGAACATGGGTCACTGGCCTGTGTGCATGGACTTTGAGATTGGAGGCCATCGTTTTCCTTCGTAACCAAATATACACAGCTCTTCACTTGGAAGCTACCCATTACCCAGCCCCCAAAAGGCAAATGAAAGCTTCTCCATCATTTCCTGCATTTTCCTGAATGCCCACTGGAGTAGGACTTCTGTGTGTAGTTACTGGTTTGCCCTTACGTCAAGATTAGAGGCACACAAGCATTGCTTCATTGCTGTCACAGCTCTGTCCTTTGTCCTAAGAGAACTGGACCGCAGGGGTGGGTGGCCAGATTCAGCGTTCGTTTCTGCAGAGGGTGATGCTGCTGGTGACAACTCTCTTGAATACTGCGTGCAGATGTGGTCGCCCCATCTCAAAAAAAAAAATATTGGAATTGGAAAAGGTTCATCAAAAGGCAACAAAAATGATTAGGGGTATGGAACGGCTTCCGTATGGGGAGAGATTAATAAGAATGGGACTTTTTAGCTTGGAAAAGAGACGATTAAGGGGGGGATAGAATTGAGGCCTATAAAATCATGACTGGTGTGGAGAAAGTAAATAAGGAAATGTTATTTACTCCTTCTCAGAACACAAGAACTAGGGGTCACCAAATGAAATTAATAGGCAGCAGATTTAAAGCAAATAAAAGGAAGTATTTCTTCATACAAGGCACAACGTCAACCTGTGGAACTCTTTGCCAGAGGATGTTGTGAAGGCCAAGACCACAACAGGGTTCAAAAAAGAACTAGATAAATTCATAGAGGATAGGTCCATCAATGGCTATTAGCCAGGCTGGGCAGGGATGGTGTCCCTAGCCTCTGTTTGCCAGAAGCTGGGAGTGGGCTACAGGGGATGGATCACTTGATGATTCCCTGTTCTGTTCATTCCCTCTGGGGCACCTGGCATGGGCCACTGTCAGAAGACAGGATACTGGGCTAGATGGACCTTTGGTCTGACCCAGTAGGGCCGTTCTTATATACCACCATTGCCCTTTCCCTCCTAACCACAAAGCCTCAAATACTCGACTGATATCCAGGAGCTTTCAGGAGGGATGCTGCTGCTTTGGCTCAACTTCTTCGTCTCACATTTTAAATCAATTATATTAAACTAAAAATGGGTCTCAGCCACAAATGCCAGGTCCAGGTCAGAACTTTCCTAGAAAGCATTCATACTGGGACAGAACATTTTGAGTGCCCTCTAGTGGTGGTTCTAATTATAGTACTACTTAGTACAAGAAACAACTGTTGGATTACACCCAGAAACCTTCACAGGAAGTGGGGTATATTGGTAAGTTGGAGAGCGGGGGAAACGTGGAAATATGGGAATAGTTAGCAACAAACCTTGAGATCTCAGTCTTTCTTTATTTAAAAAATAATCCCCGGGGCAGACGACATATCATATTTCCCAAAAGGCAGGTGATCAGATCTAGATGTTTAGTTTGGACCAATTTCTATTTTAAATATTCTTGATCTGGAGAAAGGGGTAAACAGTGAGATGGCAAAGTTTGCAGATGATACTAAACTGCTCAAGATAGTTAAGACCAAAGCAGACTGTGAAGAACTTCAAAAAGATCTCACAAAACTAAGTGATTGGGCAACAAAATGGCAAATGAAATTTAATGTGGATAAATGTAAAGTAATGCACATTGGAAAAAATAACCCCAATTATACATACAACATGATGGGGGCTTATTTAGCTACAACTAATCAGGAAAGAGATCTTGGAGTCATCGTGGGTAGTTCTCTGAAGATGTCCATGCAGCGTGCAGCGGCAGTCAAAAAAGCAAACAGGATGTTAGGAATAATTAAAAAAGGGATAGAGAATAAGACAGAGAATATCTTATTGCCCTTATATAAATCCATGGTACACCCACATCTTGAATATTGTGTACAGATGTGGTCTTCTCATCTCAAAAAAGATATACTGGCGTTAGAAAAGATTCAGAGAAGGGCAACTAAAATGATTAGGCATTTGGAACGGGTCCCATCTGAGGAGAGACTAAACAGGCTAAGACTTTTCAGCTTGGAAAAGAGGAGACTAAGGGGGGATACGATAGAGGTCTATAAAATCATGAGTGGTGTGGAGAAAGTAAATAAGGAAAAGTTATTTACTTGTTCCCATAAGAACTAGGGGCCACCAAATGAAATTAATGGGCAGCAGGTTTAAAACAAATAAAAGGACGTTCTTTTTCACACAGCGCACAGTCAACCTGTGGAACTCCTTGCCTGAGGATGTTGTGAAGGCTAGGACTATAACAGGGTTTAAAAGAGAACTAGATAAATTCATGGAGAACTAGATAAATTCATAAATTAATGGCTATTAGCCAGGATGGGTAAGGAATGGTGTCCCTAGCCTGTC